GCACAAATTATCAGAACTGAAGAATTGAGATGGAAAGAATTGATAAGGTATATAATATCTGGTCGAAAGACCACCGAGATGGGTAGACCATGAACGAATCCACACCTGCCGAAACCATGAAGTCAGCTCCAATACACTAGGTGTAACCATAGTGGACCGTAGCAAGTTGTCGAAGACTTGAGATCTTTCGGATTTCAAGTTTGGAACGGCACCTGTTAGGTCGACAAGGCAAATGAAATGGGTTCACTTAATGCCCCCTCCGTTAGGTAGTCGTGTTCGGTACAAAGGGGGCAATTCAACAATTCCAAGGTTGACTGGCGGTGTACACTAATGTGGGTGCACTGGCACAATAGCGACCCCAACCAGGCGTACGCCAGTTTTCTAAATGTAGAAAATCTCGGGACCTTCATAACAGTCAGTTTTTGTCATTGTCCGCGTAGACTCTAATGTCAGGTTCCAAAGAATTCTGAGAAAGTAGGTCTCTACACACGAGTTGAGCCCGCTGAAACGATAAGTCTTTCGTTGACATCGCAGCTAGCCAGCGCGACACCTTGGAAACTTTTTCCCAAGCCGTCCTGTGTTGGACAGTTCCTTCCTTTGCAAGGAGTAATAGCTCAGTCAGGAGCACAGCGGTCGATTGCATGAGAAAGTGCAGGACACACCACCAAGGTGAGACATGGTAGACCCATGAAGGTTCCGGCGAATTGGGTAAGTGGTCAAGCATTTGGCCAGCCAGATCAACGCACATAACCGCCATTGTATTACAGAAATTTCCTGGTATTTCAACACCCGGGGCCTTCCGTGTGAGACGACTAAGACATGGCTGAGTAATCAAGATCTTGGCACTGTAGAAACGGAAGGCGAGACATGACCGCTGCCTCTCAAACGCTTGGTGACCGTGAGTAAAGTGGAAGGCTGTAGGAAGCCGAGAGAGCCATGCGTCTACTTTGCCGTTCAGTGTGGAGATGGCTATCTCTACCTCACGCCAGGACTTTCGAGCAGCTCCTGGAGCATATAATGTGTCAATAGACTCTCGCATTATCAATCCTAGGTCGACGAGACAAAGAAAATATAACGAGGTATTCGGCGTGAGTGAGTCCACAGCATTGTAGGCAGCTTGCCCATATTGTTTACCCTGGTACGACATTGCGGGCCCGAAGCCTTCTGAAGTTGTAACTTCGTTGGTAGATTTTGTCGAGTTCCTTGACGATAGCGCTTCCATGAAGATGTTACGGCTCTCATTATCCATAATAATTTGAGCGACGTTATCATCTAGAAATTCTTCCTCCTGGAATGGCACCGGGTAGGGTGTAGTACAGAAGTCGCTGCTGCAGTGAGGTGGACGGCCAGTCATCACAGAGAGTTGGATATCTAGCATGTAAATGGACCACCATACGCGATAGCGAGTCTCTTTAGACGTGTGGACAACCATACTGCTCTCGTTGCGTAGATTCAACCCCATAATAACGGCAGATCTTATCGAGGTACCACATATTCTCCACGACCTGCGTAATAAACGGAGAAATTAGACATAAGCTTTGGGTTACGACCAGACCAGACGCACCTATTGACTTGTCCCACTGACAAGAGATAGAACGATGTTAGACCCTCCACTTGCACCTGTTGCAGATTCGGATGATCCAGTAGAGCCACGTCACTCATACTGAGTTTCCATGCCCGTGAAAAGTATAAGGGCCCATCGTCTGGTGTATCCCGGGCGTCAGACTGCATCTGGTGACAGTACCTCGCAGCAATACCAAAAATTAGATTTAGTATCGCCAGCCATCTTTTTCCTGGCCGCACGAAAGGAGTAGAGTAGAAAGACTTGTACTGCCTCAAGAAGATCGCCTTGCCGATAATCGGGAAGAAAGGGTGGATGATGGAGAAGTAAGTATCCACGAGCTGGTCAGCAAGCATTTGCGAAGGCCGCTGCATGGGATCAACATTATCTATGACAGGGATGTCCGAATCATCGAGGAAAAAGCTCACAGAAGCAACTGACTGGCGATCCCAACTTTCCTTGGGACTGGGAGTGACTGGACTGGAGCGCTCAAGCATTCGCCTCAACCTGTAAAGCCATGTTATCTCGGAATGTTCTCCTACAAAACCTATTGCTTGTATCTTCTCATCACGGTTAAAATCTTCGTTAATGTAATCCAACGCCACTAAGGAGGAAATCGGATCAGGATCCGGATCAGCTGGAGTATCAGCTCCTCTAACAGTGGATAGAGAGACTGAGGCCTTGCGACCAAATGCCTGGTCATTGCCGGCGCGTTGCTGAGGACCGTTGGTTAAAGAACGAACTCGGGGAGTACGGAGGGAAAAAGAAGGACCTACCTCATTTACAACCTGCTCGATATGTTGGGCAGTTTGCGAATCCACCTTCGAGCAAACATCTTCCAATAGGGCTTCATAAATATGCTTCTGGTTTGTCAGATCACTCAGTTGCCTATTACCCACCGTCAGAAATCCAAAATCTAATCTTCGCGAGTCGTCACACAACCCACTTGGCCATCTTCTCTCGTTTCCGATCGCCATACGAGCAACGAGTGCCGGCTTCTTGGCATCGCTGACAAGTCGGGCGATGCCCACTACATTTGGCTTTCTGTTCTCGACAATTCTCGCATGCCCGGCTGACCCGTCCACTGCTGGTCCAGTTGCTCGGGTTTGCTGATCTGGGAATTGCTACCTTGGAATTTAAAGCTCGTTCACCAGAAAACATAGGCGAAGCACCTGCGGGGTTTTCCGCAAAGCCAGCTACCATGTCGTAGTTGACGGAAGGTGCATAGGACGGCTGCGAATACTGAGGCACCGCCCAGTCGTTGAAAGTCGCCTCATTTCCTGGATACTCGGATGAAGACGAAGAAGTGTAAGACGGATAATGAAAGGGAGGAGGACGGTTGGGGTCGGACATTGTCACAGGAAATCTTGCCAACCCCCCTTTGTCCCGGCCCTCTGATAGTGCGAACAACCTGGATGTTAACACACTAAGCCCGAGCAAGTGTTGAACATTAAGAGTGGCTTAAGAAGTGGCTTACAAACACGGGAAGCAGCGATGTTTCCTGTCAGCCACGGTAACGTACGAACAAACATACCTATGAAACTGGCGGTGGTAAAGTGAGGGACCTAAGTCTGCGCCAGGAAGGCTTGTGGTAGGCTGGAGCTCACTGCCGTGTTCACTGGCGCGGGAGTCGGCTCGCTTCCGAGTTTGTAACCAAGGTATCAATACTCGTGGACATACCTTCCGAGTACCAACCCTGTATTAAACAACACAGAGGCTCAAGACAAAAGGGTACGGTTGTACCTAATAATCAAAAAAAAATGCAAAGGGGGAAATTTTTGGGCACCGCTATGGTATTGTTGGGTTTTTTTTTTTCTTTTTTGCGTTTCTGCCCCTTAAATTCTTTCTCTTTCTTTCTTTCTCTTCTTTGTTATGTGTAATTTTCTTTACCCCCTCTTTATTGACGATCTGCGGCCCTGTTGTGGTTGTGTTTCTTCATGCTTTTTTTTTTTCCTTCCCCCCCCCTTCTTCTTTTTTGTTCTGGTTCTTTTTTGAGCATGTTCTCCTTAAAATGAAGACATGGCATTTCACGGCAGGACCTCGTATTATATAAGGCAGCGAGGTCACGGGAGGTCCTCGCTATACCCAATGATTCCCCCCCTAGGCAACAATTGCATCTTAACTTCAATGGCTGTATAGTCGCACAAGTTCCAAATACCCATGATAGCCTCAGACAGGAAGGAGCCATATGCCTTGATAGCATGGTTGGTTCACTGATGCAGTAGCATCGGACTCCAGGTTCATATCATGAACTGAGATGGTTTTTAGACCAGTGCATTAGTACTACCACCCTGTCATGTCGCTCGCAGTGACCTATTCACATCGGTCTCAGGGTGCAAGAAGCATCATTGCCACCCTCAATTGCAGGGCCGTGCAACGGCACGAGAGTTCGAGAAGCTTCTAGAATCATGGTGTGGTCTTTAGCGTGAAAACACTCTGAGGCAACAAATGTGTCACTAGAGAGCTATATCATCACAGCCGTCAATTAGAGCTTCGACACCCACTTAACCTCACGATTAACTAGGGCACAGGAGTTGGTCCATGGAATGTTTGTTTAAGCGCTGTGAAGTCAAAGTCCATCAGCCCAATATCAACTTTGTATATACTCGCTGCTCGATTTTAGCCATTTGCATCGAGTCAGAAGCGAACAGATTTTGGTTTTTTCTTAGAACTCACGCTCTCCGACGACGAGTTTCTCCGCACATCGAACAGAGACACCAACACCCACGAGAACGAAGTGATACAAGGACGAATGACGATGTACGCCATAACAATGTTTGCCGCATATGTGGGTCGCTCTTGCCATATCATCTTCCCATAGATCCGGTGGCAGAGAAAAGTATTCACTCACGCACAAGGGTCATGGAACATAACGAGTGCATGACTAGCTTAGCAAATATGGATATAAGTGCAAGGGAGCAGGCGCCTAGTATGGATATAGAACGACGTTAAGCTGAATAGCCGAATACTCAGGCGATTTGACCATAAGTGTGGGAAAGCTCCGACGGTGGAACTTCCTTTAGCTAGGCCTTGTAGGTCGGTGTCCGATTTTCGTGTTTTCTTCTCAAAGAATGGATAGTTTTCGAGACACATATTCAGGATGGCTCTTTTAGTGTGTCTCCATCAAGATGATAGCCCAGAGATCTGATTAAGCGTAAAGTGAACATCTGTCTATCAGAGGTCATCAACAGTCCAAGAGGGGGTCATTACCAGAGAAGTGACTTCCTGAGAGATATCAACAACAACTTGAACTCGACATATCATCTTTTTCTCAGCAGTTGTCACATGCTCATTTATTTGAGCAGTTGCAGGAAACATCAACCACTGGAAAGTTCTGCGTGTCATTCTACTATGCTGTGGATCTACATACAACCGTTGATGCCTAGGGACGCCTGAAGGGGTCTTGAGGCGGCAAGACAGAGAGCCTTGGAGGTACGCTTTTTAGGCGTTTCCAGAGCCATGCCTTGCTAATGTGCGCAACGATCATCAACAGGCTAGAATCAGGACTGAAGCTAGTGAAACTTAACATTAGCAATGAAGATCAGTGGAATAGCTGCCTGTTGCTTACCTCCAGAACTCATCCTCTCGTGTATTGCCCGGGTGATGTCAGTCTCACAGTTGAACTCTCGGTGTAACATTTACGGGTCCATTCCCGGACCTGTCCTCGATGCATCCCTGAATGTTATGTTGCTTCGTTCGCTCTTGCATGGAACATCGTGGCAGATCTTAGGAAATCTCATAGGGAAAGCATGTTGTACGTTTAAGGAAGTGATTAGTCCTCAGCGCTGAGGCTTTTGAGAAACAACCCAACTACATTAGTCGAAAAAGGGGGGTGAAGAAAACAGGAGAGAGGGAGGGTGGAAAAGGAAAGAAAAGCGGCGAGTGAAAGCAATTCACACCGGCGAGCCCTCTTGCCATCGCAGGAAGGGGGGTTTTAAAAGATTATAAACCCGAACTAGGTTATAATTCGGCCGAATGTTTGAACAAATGGGTCCTGTTCAGCAGCTGCCCCAGTGGTTGTGCGTTGGGAAAGTCCTTTGATTGGCGAGGAATTATGTTCCGAAGGCATTGGATCAATTTATTGAACTTGGAATTGATTTCCCTCCAAAAGCGGAGCAATAGTTTTTCCTCAGGTGACCCTCCCTAAGACTTACCGACTAACCTACTACTACTAGTACCTACGGTCGCTATCGTTCTGACTACCTTCAGGTACACTTGACCCCGACCCCGTATGCTGTCTCGGAGGCAAACTGCATGCAAATCAAGTGCCCGCCTTGCGCATCTTTCCGGGTTGCTGGACGCAGGAGGTTACTAGAAGAGCAATGCTTTCCTCAGCCTTGCAGGGCAGCCAGCGAGCGTGTGAAACCCGTTCCTCACCTCTCTAAACAAACACCCTGGTTTTGTGCGACGGAATGGAGTCGAATGCGAGAAAGGGGGGGACTAAAGCCAATACGTCAGGCTGGCATTTGCTTGAACTAATCTGCATTAACCATGTCACTCCCAGATTTCCTCCCTGTCCTACTTGCCAGCCCCTGGCCATCAGCGCTTTAGCAACGAGTAACCGGGAGAAGTCCAGCTTCGGAATTATCTACCCATCTTGCTACAAGAGAGTCTCGTCAGTCGGTCGTCCACCAGAAGCTCCCTAAACAATTGATGGTAGGGGTGTACGTCGTCGGTCGCTGGCAGCTTACGAAATCCCCTATAACCTCTCTCTGTCATCCTCATCCGGAACTCCTCACAATCGACAGAGTACTCAATATCGATTGTTGAGCAATGTGAAGATTGGACCTGCATGTCGTGTAATATGCAAATCATTCGAAATAAATCGAGGCGCTCTCGAAAGGAGATAGGACTGGTGGAACGGTGGCTGGCAATCTAAACATGACACACCAACTCGCGTCATCAATCCGTTGTGCTGTCCGGAATGAAGATCAGCGGATTAAACTTCCGAGACGAGTCTCCCGTGGAGTACCGCTAGCATTCATGCCTATGTACGGAGTACGTACCGGATGATCCCTTTTTCCGGTCCTCATCTGCAATATGAATCATGATCGGAATACATATTTGATTGTGTGTATATTGAAAGAAAAACACGATATTCAAGCACGAGCTGGAGAAATCTCTATCTTTCCCAATGGGGACTAGCCTAACATGGAAGGATTTAATGTCCAGTAGGTTCCACCTCTCGAGAGAAGCACGGCCCATTCAGGTTCTCCATATATGCTTGTCCCCAGTTTTCCGGCGTGAAACGGTCCACAACCTCTTTGGACCCAGCCTATACTCCGTAGATTGATCACACGTCAGAGTGAACTAGAAATGACCAAAAGTAGGGACGCTCACTAAAGTGCAAAGCTGTCATTTCCATTCCAATCCCGGCCCTCCAGCGAATAGCCATTATACCGGTGCCGAACATAATGATGGCTCTAACGAGCTTTCTGCTCGGCTGCTAGCAATGGAGTTTGAGTTCGACAAACTAGAGGAGGGTACGAGGTTTCTATTATCCTGCTGATGTGCATGTTCTGGAATCTGGTTTTCACCCTTCCTCCCGGAATCTCAACAGCAAGGACAGATCCGTACGGTAGTCATTTTCTCGTCCCATTTACGCCAATGACCCCCAGAGATGCCATAATGGCTCCAAGGGTAGAATAAAGAGTGCCATCAAAGAAGAGCTTTTGTTCTAAAGTCTCCATTGTTGCCGATCTCTCTGCCTTAAGCCACAAGGCTCTCGGTAACGTCCCCTAAGAGAGCTCCGATTCCGACCCGTCGCATCTCGCTATTTTAAAATTTCGCACCGTACCCTTACTCTTAAGCGATCTTGTCAACAATCTCAATGACGATGCTGTCGTAGAATTCCTTTGGTGGTCGAATTTCTGGGGCGGCAGAGGTGGAATAGACAATATCATGGATGGATCGCATGGATACTAGGTTTCGAACCAACTGCAAGACTTCTTTGGGTTGGCATATACTTCCGCCAGAAACAAGTTGAGCTAGATCATCTTAGCGGAAACATTCTTTATGTGAGGATATCTCAACCAGCATACCGCGCACAAATCGACACGCCTGAGTTCAGGTGGGTGTTCTCACATCTGTCTACTGTCCGACGCGAGTAGGCCTCACACAGCTGGATAAAGCGATCACAGAAATGTTCATTCTGAAGGAGAGTTTCATTCTCTGGATATTCCATGACGATAACAGGCGCTCCAAAAGAAGCCGAACGGGTACCAGGAGGGAACATCCCCGAAACAATATGCTGCAAGGATTCTAAAGCTTTCGGAAAAGGGCGATAAGCGGAAGCGCATAGTACGAGGATTATTTAGGACAACAGGGAGGAGTTTCAGCTGGTCAGCGTAAAGCTGCTGAAGTTGTTGGCCCAATACTAGCATTTGCGCTCGATCGTTGTCCGTGGGCTCGCCATTAAGTCTAATTTCGAGCCACCTGGAAAGCTTGAGAGTTAGACTACATAGGGCTAGAATGTATCTATAAGAAGGGGAACTATAGATTTGAACCTAACTCTTGCGTCAATGTGGGGAGGATCTGCCAACTCTGAAACAAATTTCCCCACAGTCGGAATAAATTCTCCGGATCACTGCCTGAGTGTTTATTGTTTATCGTTTATGGTACACAAGTGAAAGCCTTCTCCCGAACGATAGGCTAGGAAAGGTGCTTGGACATCAGATTAAGTGCACTTCCAGCCTTAAAGTACTCAATCTGCTCCTGGGTGAATGAATGATAAACCTCCACCTGCCATGGCTCACTAGATGATTCCGTGGGAGTTACCAAGAGTGTGAGCGGTTGACCAGGAGCCAGGGCGGCCAGACCCTTAATACTGACAAGATCCGAAGAGCAAATGCGGTCATAGTCCGCGTCATCGGCGAACGTCAGTGGCAACATGCCTTGCTTCTTCAGGTTGGCCTCATGAATACGTGCAAAGCTCTTAGCGATGATAGCAACGCCTCCAAGATACCGAGGCTGGAGAGCGGCGTGTTCACGGGAAGATCCCTCCCCGTAGTTATGGTCGGCAATCACCACCCAAGGGCGACCTTTGGCTTGGTAGTCCCGGGCTGTGTCGGGCACGCCGCCGTCTTCACCTGTCAGGCGATTGCGGATCTGATTGACCTGCTCGGTGTCCGCGTTGACTGCCCCGATCAAGGTGTTGTTGGCGATGTTCTCGAGGTGGCCCCGAAAACGGAACCAGGGGCCGGCAGGGGTGATGTGGTCGGTGGTGCACTTGCCCCTGGTTTTGATGAGAATGAGACAATCCTCAAAATCATTCCCGGACCAAGGCTTGAATGGGGCGAGCTTCTGCAGACGTTGAGAGAAGGGAGAAATCTGAACTTGTATATGACTGCGGTCACCTGTAGGAGGGGCTAGGTATGCAGAATCTGAATCTTCGTATCCCCGACTGGGGTGTGATTGACTAACAGGAGGTGTAAAGCGAAATTCCTCTCCGGAAGGAGTAGTCAGACTGTCCACATTGGGATTGAAAGAAAGATCATCGGAGAATATCTTGCCCATGACAACTTCGGGAGAGGAAAGGAATACGTGGGTTGCTGGGTTAGAATCTAGACGACCGGAAAAGTTACGATTGTATGAGGTGATGATGGAGTTGGGCGTCCCCTTTGAGCGCTTGTCAGGATGTGATCATTGCAGTATACGGAGCGTAATCAGGGCAAGATATACTTACTTTTGGCATGTCAGTACGGTCCCAGGAGCCACAGCAAGGACCACAGGCGTTGGCCAGCATCGTTGCCCCAACTTTTTCGAGGACATCAACAATCCCAGCGTTTTCGAGTGTCCGCCGAGTCTGCAAGCTGCCGGGAGACACCAGTAGAGGCACTTTTGGTTTGAGACCAGCATCAAATGCTTGTTGAGCAACACTAGCGGCGCGTGTCATATCTTCGAATGAGGAGTTGGTACAGGATCCGATCAGACCAGCCGTGAGCTTTGGCCACTCATTCGCCTTCACAGCCGACTGAAACTTGGACAGTGGAGTAGCAAGATCTGGGGTGAAGGGTCCATTGATCTGCGGTTCCAAGGATGACAAGTCAATCTCAATGACGCGATCGTACTCTGCCTCATGGTCAGCGCGCAGCTCATGGGAGACCGACTCGACCGCTTGAGCCATGCCCGGCCTGTGGTTTGCACAAAGATATGCTGCCATCTGAGGGGAGTAAGGGAAGATGGACGTGGTAGCACCAGTCTCGGCCCCCATATTACAAATTGTGGCCATTCCAGTCGCCGAGAGTCCCTTTGTGCCTGGCCCAAAGTATTCGACAATGGATCCGGTTCCTCCCTTGACAGATATAAGACTGGCGAGCTTATTGATTACATCTTTGGGAGATGCCCATTTAGTAAGTTCTCCGGTCAATCTAACGCCGAGAACACGAGGTGCTGTTAGCTCCAACGGTAGACCAGCCATGACGTCCACTGCATCGGCGCCACCAACTCCGATCGCAATCATACCCATACCCCCAGCATTTGGGGTATGAGAATCAGTTCCAACCATCATGCCACCGGGAAACGCATAATTTTCAAGCACAATCTGATGAATGATTCCAGCACCAGGCTTCCAGAAGCCCATATTATATCTTTGACAGGCACTTTCCATGAAGTCGTACACCTCTTGGTGGGCCTCGAGAGCCCGGGGAAGATCCTCGGTCTCGCCATCCCGACTAACAATCAGATGGTCACAATGTACCGTTGTTGGAACCGCTGTAGATTCAAGTCCTGCAGACATGAATTGGATGAGAGCCATTTGGGCAGTAGCATCTTGGCAGGCGATTCGTAAGGGTCGCAATTTCAGCTGTGTTTCCCCCCGTACTATATTCTCATCGTTTGAGGCGTCATCCAGATGGGCATAGAGAACCTTTTCAGCGTAGGTCAAAGGTCGATCCAAACTATAATGAGCTGTGATTAATATGCATTCGAATCTCGAGCACTGATTTGAGCGGACACAATTTGGAAGAATAGCACCTACCGGCGGCGGATCTCGTTGACTTTGCGCGTAAACTTTTGCAAGTCAACATGCCGAGGTTGCTCAAATCGACTTAAAGATGCTGTATTAGGTGAAGCTTCTGAGGCAAACCACCTACGAATCTGCGACTTTGACCTCAGCCAATGCCTCGGGCTATGTTGTGAGGAAATCCTGGGCCGCATTGCTAAAGAGACCATCTCGCTCGCCTTTCTTTCAAAAAAGAGGGAGCCTTAAATTACCCCACAGAGCATAGAGAAGATCTCGCGAATTTAACTAAGGCTATATTTTAATGTGTTTAGTTATTGTCGAGCTCTCATTAGCTAGTAAGTTCGCAGTTGCCATCATTCTCGGATGCATCCGTCGCGAGTATAGAGTCGGGTACTTCCGACCCCAAAGTTCCCCACGCCATGCCTAAGAACAATTACCCGGATCCACATTCATCAAAATAAACGAGAAAGGGATGGTTTGCTCTATTCTTTTCTCGGCAATCGACTCCTCTACTTGGTATGGATACCCTATCCATCGCTTAACTCTGAGAGCTAACAGGCACCAGGCAATTCCCGGCGGGAGCCGGCCTTTCGGTCTACAAGGAGGGAGTACGCGGGTTCAAGGCCCAACTATACTTAACCAGTGTACTATGAACTTCTTCCTAATGATATGAGAGTGGGATTATGGACAATGGAATAGTTCTATTGTTTACTCATGCTCACTATTGCAGTATCATTTGTACCTGGTAGTACCTAAAACAATGATGTTATTTCGCATAATAAGTTATTAGTAACATCTTCGATACAAAGAAGAACGCAACAGGTCATTATATCACTAATAGGCATTTCACCTATAGAACCGAGCTGGATTATCTCTCATCAGCTTTTCCCAGACCTGTTCGTTACCCACCCAGTCCCTCAAACTTCGTAGAACTCCAAGATTATCAATTGAACGAAACCCTTCCTTTACATTGATATCCGAATTCTTCAAGCGAGCCGCACCGTCTCCCGTATGTGGCCAGTCACTACCCCAGACCAACTGATCCGGGACGTCATGCGCCAGTGACTCGATAATGGGTTTCATATCACTGTAAGTAGAGACAGAGTCCCTTGAACAACGATACAAGCCGGATATCTTGACTATCACACGCCCTTGCTTCGCTAGGGAGGTAAGAGATGAAAAGCCAGGCTGCGATAAGGGTGATTCTTGGAATTCTGGTGGCAACTTCGACCGGCCCAGTGCTCCTCCCACGTGGTCCGCGATGACGGGGGCCGGCAAATCGAGGATATAATCATATAGAGCTAGGTACTGTCATTAACAAATAGGCTCAAATACAATCCACGAGCATTAAAAACCTACCATCCCATACCCAGACCGGAACACAAAGCTGAACCATCCAGCCCGGAAGATGTTGAATGCGTCGGGTAGCTTTGTGTAGCATATCCGCCAGCTTAGTTAGGTCGACTTCATGGCCGTCCGCTCGGAAATTCAAGCGTATTCCTCGTGCACCGAGTTGATGCATCTCCTCCAAGGCGTGGTCGGTCACACTATCCAGATCAATTACCACAATAGCACGCGCATTGATATTGCGGCTTTGTAAGTCTCGTAAGCATTGTAGCAATACTGTGCAATCGGTCTTGTAAGGTGATGGCTGCACAAGGATCAGATTCCCAACTTGAGCGTCTTGTGTTAGGCGTTCATTAAAAGCAATTAGCCTTGATAAAGGAGCATCTTCCGGTGTGTATGCTCGACCCGGGGCATATGGACCCAGACTAGGATCAAAGATGTGGACATGAGTATCGAAAGCGCCCGCTGGTAAGAAAGGTGTTCTAAGATTGTCAGATCCTGTTCCTTACTTCCTTTGATATTCCTTAATACTACTTACTTTGTCTGGAAGTCTTTCCCAGGTTTAAAGCTGTGCGCTGGATCTTTCGTCTGTACTATGGAGGATACGATGCCCATCGTGCTTCGGGTAATCTGATACATCTTGATTGATCTACTAGCCCGAGGCAGCATCTGCATTGAATGCTGGTCAAGGTATACAAGAGTCAAGAATCAACATAAACACCGAGCAAATATGCAGCATCATCCATAGTAACATAATACCTCGGGCGTCACATGGTCCACTTCTCCAGACCGGTCGGACTTCCCGACAATTGCGGCCATACATCGGATGCTTCCGATCCTTTTCTCTTCTCTCCAACACATTAAGACACAGAACTAGCAACGCTGGTAGGGTTTTAATTTGTCTATAAGTCTGTCCAATCGCAGGTAGAAGAACGATTTAAGCCGAAAATAGCTGATTTCGAAACAGACAGAGGATCATATATACAGGGTTTCTTCTCAGCTGTGTTCGGGTTTTGCCTTTAACCAGATTACTTGAACGCCATTGTGTCTCCACAACATACCAAGCGGACAATGGATGTGCAA